GCTGCAAAATGTACAATTTTAACTGCAATAACAGATCAATGTTTTATCCAGGATGAAGCTGTGTAAAGTTACTACACGTCAAATTCCATTCAAGTTTGAATAACCAGAGATCTTGGCTTGGTGCGAGGTTTGGTTCTGGGTCTATTTTTTATCATGGTACCAATCTGAATTATAGTATTGGTCCAATCAACCCTACTAGAATTGGAGGAGAAAAACTTTAAGTACGGGCATTCCGTCATTTGGAGCACATCATTTTTAATCAGAGAGATATTCTATAGTTTCTAATGCATCACTTGATTAATGTTCATTGGACGGATAATGTATCATGTACTTTTTGAACATGTGACAAACATCTATTGAACATATAACAACATTAGAACAATCTCCTGGTTGCAAGGGAAAATCTCCCTACAAACTGACAAAAGTATACAACCTTTTTGTATTATGGTCTCACCTAACCCTCGGTGGCTAAAAGGTGAGAACTTCGAACTTCCATGGTTAGACAACACTACAAAAAAATTTCTCCCACCCAAGGGCTAGGCTTCTAAACGGGTTGGTTTCTGGAGCAAATGTGAGCTGAAATTATTATAAAGTAGGAGAAAGTATGTTGTGTCATTGGAGAATATCCTCTTGCTTATACGACGTGACGGGTGTTATAAACACAAACGTGGCCTACCTCACACAAAAGCAGTTGAAGACCAAGAGTAGTAGTAAACAAATGGGGCAAATTAAATAAACTTGTTCCCTTTTCTTATTTAACCACAAACAGAAATAGAGTAAATGTAAAATAGTAAAAATTGAGTGAAGGACTTTCAACCATGGCAAACCAACTGTCGACTCCTACCCTTCAAGCAATTGTATTATGACACTTGCTGTACTGGTTTGTGTTCTTAGTATATTGAAAAATTTCTACTTCAAGTGCATTTCTTACCTCCGTTTATGGAGATAAGAGTAACTGTGTAATTCAATAGCATAACATGTTCCTAAAACTTCATCACATTGAATTCTAGATTTTTTTTTTTCACCATTTACTTCAAAATCTAAAAGAACAACTCTTCATTCATATCATAGGATGTTTATGGTTAGCCCAAAGCTATATAGGTTAAACTATGTTTAACTTAAAATAAATTTAGCATATCAAATGCAACATGAGAGAAATGATAACTTTTCTTTCCAATACAAACGATGTTGGGGGAGGAAGATTCGTAAACAAGATTTCGAAGGCATAAAGAAATGCTCGTAGTTACTTAAACTGTAAGTCACTTATCACTGCAAATGATAACTGTAGATATTATTCAGATGAGATTTCTTACCATGGTCACTCATAAAAAGCTTACAACAATACAAACACTAGTTTCCTTGTACCAAACTGGTGGTGGAATCTGCTATCTTGATAAATCATGTGCCACCAAGTGGGCCTTTTTGTGCTCCGGACAAGCTTTGATCAAAACAAAAGAGCTTATATCAAAGTATTGTTTCATTGAAGGACACCCTACCTAACTTAACCTAAGCAGAGCCACATAAAAAACCAAAAGCCATAACTGTTGATATCTTTTGGCAACACAATTCATGGCTCTCAAAACTTTGTATTAATCAGTATAAATTGTAACTCCATATGACGGAAAAGTCACGGGTTCAAGTTGTGGAAATCTTTGTGCAAAGTAAAGTTAAGGCTGCGTACTGCAGATGTTCTCCTGTCCTCCGGCCCTCGCAATAATGAGAGTCTTGTTAGCTTGGGATCGCCATACTAATGTAGTTCAACTCGATACAAGTCAAATGAATGATGTGAGAGTTGTACACCGGAGAAGTACAACAATAATCTACAGTTTAAAAGTAGTTCACTGTAATCACAACTATATCTTAATCTTTGTGGATGGGAAAAAACCAGATTTATGAACAATAACCTAAGATTTACATTGTGCAAACAAAAGAAAAGAAAAAACAGAGCATGTGATGGTGTGGCAAATTGCACATGGAGGTATCAATTGCTTTGTCTAATTTAGATTGGATATCTATCAAAACACATATTAGCCTCAGCTTGGTGGCCAAGTAAGTGGACAAGCAATGACTTCTACTTCTTGTTTATTCTGTGTTTCTAATGTGGGCTCATAATATTTTTCATGCTAATTTAGGGTCACTACTCTCTCTCTCTCTCTCAAACCAATATTCTTATAATTTTCTTGGGTACAGGGAAATAAGGGAATCGGAGAGGATTCCCTTCCCACAAAGTATGCAGATTACAAGATTAATTAGTAATATTGTTATCTTTATTCTGGAATGAGGATTCTTTCCTCTTCTAATCTCTCTCTCCTTCTCTTCTCTCCTATTTGAACGGTTATGGTTAAACCACGTCAACATCTTATATTGATTTTTTTATAGAGACAATAAGATAAAAAAACAATATGCGAGAGAAATGAAGGAAAGGGGATGAGAATAGAAGTTAAGAAAATCCTACTCCTTTATTCTGGATTAAACTATGGTTTTACTTAATTAAGACATGTTGGGGTTTAATAATGATTAGTTATTAATTAGAAGTTTAGAACCTTGGCCTTAGGACAGCTACCCAAAAGTTAGGATCCTATGAACTATGTAGAGAGCAATGACATTGAGCATTCTAAAAAGACTACGAACTCTTTGCTACCTTATTTTTTCGTGCAAATGATATAAATAGAACATGAGGTAGTAGAGATTTTCACGAAAAAGTCTTCTTATCATTTCTTTCCATCAAAATCACAAGGATAAATGCAGATTATCAAAGTGTGATTTATGGTAAGAGAAATAATTCTAGAAGGAGTAAAGGAGACCAAAATTTTTAATCAAATTTTGTAAACTAAATAACGTGAATGTTGATTATTGAATTATTACTTAAGTATTAATTATTGTAATTTTTTATTATTAATAACACATTATTTAGTCTATAAATTTAATTTAAAATTTTGACCGTCCTGAAATTAAAGAAGATGCAGAGATGGGGCCAAATCCTTGGTCTTTGTTTAAGGGATGTGATATTCACACATCCTATTTTATTTATCGTACACCTTTTTAATTTTCGATCGTCGGATTGGATGAATTGAAGAAGATCAACGGACAGAAATTATCAAGGAGCGTGTAAGAAGTAAAATGAGGTGTGTGGATAACACATCCTTATTTAATCCGAGTAATCAGAAATTATATAGAGACGCATGCATTCACTGCATGTCGAAAAGGAGAGGAAGAATAATTGTAGCACTTATGCAGGACTGTTGGTGTTGGGCATGAAGAAGATGGATGGGACAATGAAGAACGCATCTCAATGACATCGGACGGCCATGGCAGAAGCAACTGCATGCAACTCCTCAAGACTATACATACATATACATACAAGAGGGGTGAGAGAGAAACACTTTCTTTCTCTTCTGTGTGTGTAGGTGGAGAGAGAGAAGGGCAAAGCAACCAGAATTAATAAGGAGATTAATATTTGAGGGCGATGTGCAGCTCACTCACTTGCCTCCCTCAACGCTTTACTTTCTCATTTTCCAAAGTCGATCCCTTTTCTTCTCTCAATGTTTTGCCTTTTTCAGTCTTTTTATGTTGTAGTAATTGTTAATTGTTGTTGTTCACACATCAAAATATCATTTCTCTTCAATTATCATACTAAATGGAGACGTTACATTTAAAATAACATGAATAAGCAAATTAAATTATATATTATTAATAAGTAACAAATACGTTAATCAATACTTAAGTAATAATATAATCATTAACATTTAAATTATTCGGTTTGCATATATGGTTTAAAAAATTTGATCTTTCTAGCATTAACGTGTTTACGTAAAAGTAATCAGAATAAAAAAAGCAGATTAAATTTTCATTACGAACACTTCAGTGTTTTGTAGATCAGCCGCAAAGTGTTTGAAGAGGAACTCATCATCCTCTGAGGAACCAAGTTAATTCTTTATTATGGATTATTATAGTTCAAAAATGTCAGTGTACACTCAGCTCCTATAAACACAATTAAAAAAAATTGTATTTCAAAACAATTTTTCTACTACATAACGTACTAATATATGTTGGTTTCAACTTGTAATTTGTTGACTTTATGATACAATCGAAACTCAACGGTCTTGAATTCGATTGACTGTTTACCAAAAAATGAATGCTGTAATATTTTCATTTATTCAGATTTGAACGACGGAATGGTGGGAACATAATGTAGTCTTGCTAATCCTCCAAGTCTCATGCTAGCTATTTTCGTTTAGTTGATGAATAAAATTAGTGAGCGGTGAATTGCCACGATAATTTGCATTTTTTTTTCTTCCTTCAATTTATTTTTATGGGGTTGACCTTTCTTTTCTTCTTCTGGTAGCTGTTAATGTTATTAACTAATAATAATTTTAATAACATTTGGAATTTTGGAACAAATAATTCAAAGTGTTGGTGATGATGGAAGAGGATCCTCTACAGATCTATTTTGTGGAGATCCTAGGATCTTTATATCGTAATCGTTTATCATATATCGTGTGTTTAATTTTTGTTAGATATTATTTATGTTTAATTTTAAGTAAAAAAATTAAATAATTTCTAACCGTGTACTATATATGATGAAGTGATCCGGATGAAATCCAATTCCGATGACGGTTTGTACCTGAGTGGCAGAGCAGTATTCATATCTGATGACGTGTTGACTGGGGGTATAAATGTAAAATCAACTAACTAATAAGTACTGTATATTTTCTTAGATGTTCTGCTGACGTAGACATCATTCCCAATTTTTACATAAAACAAAGCTGGTTTAATGGTCCTCACCAATTAACGAAAATTATTTCCTTCTAATTTTTTAACCTAATTAACAAGTACAGGAAGTTGATTAGTTTAATTTTTTGTTAATTAATGCAAATTAACGTTTTAAATTAAAAACTTAGAACTCTGGTACGGACGAGGGAGGAACGTGGCAAAAAAGTAATAAACTCAACGTCAAGGGGTACAATTTAGTACGCACTCTGCATACTATATTTTCTGACTCTCTGCTCCTCTTTCCGCTAAACAAAGCTGCACAGAAAGTAATAATGGAGCTCAAAACTTCGCCCGGCAATGGTACCCAACCCCCAAACCCTGAACCGAAACCCGACCCGTCAAACCCTGGTAATGCCGAAACCCAGCAAACCCAGCTAGAAAACCAGCTCTTCTTTGAAGACTACGACAGCACCTGCTCCACACCTTACGTCAGCGCGCCGTCGAGCCCCGGACGGAGTGGGCCGGTCAGTGGGTTTTTCTACAGTGCTCCGGCGAGCCCAATGCACTTCGCATTGACCACAAAGTCGAACTCATCTTCGTTTGAGAAGAATGGCGGGAACGGCAGCGACTCTGTTTCTATGGGTTTTGAGTTCGAGTTCTCTGCGCGGTTCGGGTCGAGCGGGTCCGGCCCGACCGGTCCGATGAGCTCGGCCGACGAGTTGTTCTTGAACGGCAAGATCCGACCCATGAAGCTCTCGACCCACCTGGAAAAGCCCCAGACTTTGGCTCCGTTGCTGGATCTCGAACCGGAAACTGGGGAAGACGAAGCGGATCGGGTGGGGTTCGAACCCGTGAGAGGCAGAGATCTGAGGTTCCGTGACAAGTCCCTGCGGCGGAGGACGAGATCTTTGTCCCCTTTGAGACATGAGCCATTCGAGTGGGGACAGAACGACGAGATTCTTGAAGCTGAAGAGAAAGACTGCAACTTTGCTGAAGATCCGAAAGGGGCGGCGAAAAACGGGGAAGAAGACGAAGAGGGAGTGGAGGAGAGCAGCAGCACCACCACTACTCCTTCGGTTTCAGCTTCGTCGTCGCGGTCGTCGTCGGTGGGGCGGAACTCGAAAAGGTGGGTTTTTCTGAAGGAGTTTCTTCACCGGAGTAAGAGTGAAGGGCGGAGCAGCAACCACAAGTTCTGGTCGTCGATTTCGTTCTCCGCCGCGAAAGAGAAGAAACCCATGAAACAGGGCGGTCAGAATGCTCAGGGCTCTGTTTCAAAAGACCCCAAATGCAGCAACCCTTTGAACTTGGGCTCAGAGGGGCAAAAATTGAAGGGAAGTGGGAGCGGTGGTTCGGGGAAGAAGACGGGGGCCGGAAAACCCACCAACGGTGTCGGGAAGCGGCGTCATCCGCCGTCGCTTCACGAGCTGCATTACACTGCAAACAGGGCTCAGGCTGAGGAAATGAGGAAAAAGACTTACTTGCCTTACAGGCAAGGGTTGCTCGGATGCTTAGGGTTTAGCTCAAAGGGTTATGGAGCTGCCATGAATTCTGGGTTTGCTAGGGCTTTGAATCCAGTTTCTTCAAGGTAAGGTAAAAGAAATTAAGGTCTCCAATGGCAATCTCCATGAATCTTTCATGTGGTGGATTCAGAAGGAAGTGTATAGATGTTTGTTTTTTTTTTTTTCAGATGATTTTATGTGATCATCTGTGTAATCATTGAAGACTGGCTGGCTAGCCAATTTAGATCTCTGTTTTTCTTGTGAAAAAAGAGGAGCTGCAGCAGTCTTTCTGTATTTTGATGGGGTTTTATGATGATGAAAAATGATGGGGAAAATCTTTTATTCCCGCATCTTCTATGCCACTGTTAAATTTATTCTCTGCTGTCACTACCAGTGCTGGTATGATGGAGTCAATCAATTTATTTATGATTTTATTCCATCGGTTTTCTTACTTTGAAGAACTTCCCATGGATCCTTGTTGAGAACTTCTAAGACCCAAAGATGAAGGAGTCAGCCTCCTGTTATCGTGTTCTTCCCATTCTTTTCTATCTGTGTAGTCACGGTTAAACCACATTAATATTTTATATTCCTATTGTTTTTTATCTTATTATTTTTATAAAAAAAATCAATATAAAATGTTGACGTGGCTTAACTGTGACCATACAAATAAAAGGAAATGGGAAGGGCACCATAACAAGAGGGCAGACAATCTGCCTCGAAGATCCATCTGCTCCATTTAAGTTGAACAATGCTTACGCTACTTAAGAATGAGTAGGAATTTTTACTCAAAACGTGTTCGAATCATAAATTATTGATATTATGAACCATTATGTAAAGAATATTTCTAAAAAAAAATAAATTAAAAGCAAGGTTGTTTAGTCAATTTATTGTAGCAAATACATAACTGTTCATAATGATTTTATCAATTTCATTAATATGTTTTTATACTGTTCGATGAGTGAAAAACCTAGTTCTAATTGATTTTTTTGCAAATCGATCTTTATAAAGTGATTTATAATCTAAACGGTTTTGACCACAAATAGGCTACAAACAGTTTTGAGTAGGAACTCTTACTCATCATTTGAATAGCCAAATATTATTCTTTAAGGATACTCTGGTCCTTGAGATATTAATGATATGAATGTGATCTGGTTATTCCCTTAATTACCATCATTATAAATCATAATCCTAATATGGGAAAATTTTAGTAGAAGTGATTAATACACATGAACCGTTGAAGCGATTCTAATCTAAAATCAGATACATTCTCAATCAGTATCTCTTTCGTCATATGACATATTTCGCTTAACTTGTTTAAAGCTTTTGGTGCTACAAACAAATGCACATTTTGCATGAGATGGTGGTTGGGATGTTTGGTATTGATGATGAGGTGACCCCAATTTGCCTTATGTGATATTGCTGTTTTGGGACCCTAAAGAATCTACTTGTCTGATATAATTACTTGCTTTTTATGTTAATTTGTTATTACACCATTAAACTATCAAGTAGGTAGATTTTATATGGAGTTTTGCAAAGGTGTAATTGAGATCTTAATTTGCAAGGGACATGGTGCCTGCTAGTCCTACACATGGTGGACATAAAAGGAGGAGTTTGAGATCATGAGACATTCCCTCAACTTTTTGTGTTTTGATTCCACTCAAAACAATCAAAATCCATCATATTGCATCTCTTCTGGGATTCTTTTCTGCTCAGTATTTATGCCGAGTCGGATGGTAAGTCAACTAAAATTAAGCGTTGAACTCGTTATATATAAAAGTCGTATTTGAAATTTACACTTACAAGTGGAGATAAATATTATTAGACCGCACTACTAATAACTAATAAAGACGATTTTTAAACTACGGTAATTATCTAGAGGAGATTCGAATTCAGGGTGCAAATGACCGATTGCACTATCCTGATAAATTGACCTAACTCACGATAAGAAATTAAGTAGCAGTGTCCGACCATATCATTCATAAAACACCTTTCACAAAAGCATATGTATCATGTGATTTGATCATATTCAACGTCACATTAATCTCACTTAGTAATAGACAGCTCGACCGAAGTTTTTCTCCCATTTGCAACAAGGCTTCTTGGAAATTTTCTGGAGGATCCAACAACAATGAGATCTGATCTGATGCGCTCAAAGTCCACTATTATGCTGGGGACGTGTAATTTTTATTTTAGGCTGCAGAAAACAGCAGCAAAATCCCATCATCATGATGGTCCCCTCCCCTCCATTATTGTTCATGGCAAGGGCTTATTTACCCAGATATCTATTTAACCCAACAATCAATTACGACAGCATAAAGTCTGAAGTCTTTTTTTTTTGGGTCAACAGAGTTTTGAAATCTAACTAGTACAGAACGGAAGGATAAGAAAGGAATCTTCTTCGGATCTTTTTTATCAAATCTATAAAAACATCCTGTTTGTAGCCTTTAAATCAAATTTCAATGATCCAAACGAATGAACTTTATAGATTTGATGGAAAGGATCTCTGGAAAGATGTATGTTTGATAAACAACTTCACACACATTGATCAATCACATTGCTCTCTCTCTCTCTCTCTCTGCATCAACTTTGTCACTTGAAAAACATCTGGTTCTTACTACAAACGGTCCCATCTCCTAATTAATTTCCATTGTTCATCATCGCTGGCGGATTTAGAATTTAAATATGAGGAGTCCCAATATTAAAGGTATAAGTTTTTAAATGGGAACAGAGAGAGAGCGATGAGCGCAAAAAACTTTCAGTTTATTCACTTAGATATTTCGTTGAATATTTGGTAAACCTGTTGTTGTCAACCGATTCGTGTTGTGCAAACATCGACATATGCCAAAACAATCTAATGAGTGCATTGAGAGAATTTGTCATGTGTTCTCGACGCAACATGTCGAGTGCTGCTGAGATAAGCCTGACAAACATTACATCAAATACTTGATGGAAAAAAAAAAAAAAAAAACCTATACCAAACATTTGAAGGGTTCACAAAAGACATTTACTTGTATATTTCCAAGACTCCAGGTGGTCCTGGACCCCCTGGTCTCATTGCTCATCATGTCGATATATTTGCTATTTTGCCCTCGATCCTATGGCTATTTTAGCTTCTTCTACTTATCAAAGCTGTCCCATTTAGTGAACAAAGACTTCACTTGGGTGTCACTTTGGGACATAGAGCTACATTTGAGTTGTACGCAAGAATACGTTAAAGAATACAAGAATCTTACATCCGGCTAAGTTTAAATTGAGTCTGTTGATGCACAAAACCAGAAGGTTTTGGAACAACGTAAATCCGACCGTGAATCTGCAAGAAAGTAAAAAACACAAGATGTATCGTGGTTCACTCCAATGTTTGGGCTACGTCCACATTGATGTTGATTGTATTTCTCTGTATGAATGTATGGATTACAAGTGTGAGGGGGAGTCCCCCAGAGAAAGAGAGAGTGCGAGAGAGTTTCTCTCTTTGTGAGAGGGTTGCTCTGAATATGAGAGCCTCTGTTTGGGGATGTGAGGCATCCGGATTGTGAGGGTGAAGAGTTCATTTTATAGACTAAGGGCTCCTCCCCTTTCACATAAATCATGGACTTAATGTCTGGAAGCCCAAGTAACGAGACCCAATATAATATGATACCAATAGTCTTTACCTTGTCTTGCCTACGAGGAGGTGTGTCAAAGGAATATAGAACCCACGTCAAAGGATTTGACAAAATGAAATCATTTATATTAAACCAACTAGCTAGAAATACGCATCTACCATCTCTTTCACTGAAGTTCGAATTATTCTTGTAACCTAACCTAGAGTGGTCTACAGTACGTATCATATAGTCACGAAAAATAAAGAAGTCATGATTTCTGCTACCTTACGTTCCTAAATTATTGCGAGCACAATGATCCTTTGGTACGATGGTTTCCTCTTCTAGTTAACCTCTCCCCAACAAACAGAAAAATGAAAAGCAAGCAGCTACAACTCAAGATAAAGACTTCCAAGAAGCCAAGCAGTTTGCAAAAGAAAAGGCTGATGTTACCGATACTTCCAAGCTTTGGATGGGACATGACATTACCTCTTTGTTTTTTTCCGCTTCCAAATAATGCCTCGCATCGCATGGACACAATTTTCTTTTGGACCACGATTCTTTGCTCTCCCAGAAAGGCATGGGAGTCTTTGGCGTATTTCATACGCTATTTCCTCCTAAACTCATTCACCGTCTGGGGACGGATAAGAATTACAGAGGGGCCGATGGATGAACAGGTGACCTGCAGAACGGTACCTTAAATAACGATAAGCAGTGCAAAAATAGGAGGAGAGCTCATCTTAGCAAGTGATTGGAATTGCCAATGAGGAAAGAGTTGCCTGACTGTGAGGAAGGCCCTAGACGAGTGATTGACTGACCGTCGCGCTCCTTAAACCTTGACCCACCTTTCTGTCAAAGGCTTACTTCCCTCTTAAAGTTCTTTCAATCTCTCTTTCTCTTCCCTCCGTTTAAATTTTATAGAGACAAAAAGAAAACTGTGAGAGAAAGGAGGGGAAAGGAAAGGGCTGAGAATTGAAGGGAAGAGAATCCTACTTTTTCTTCGGCGACATTTGGCTTTCCGACGGATTGTACTGTTCCTAATCTCACACGTGTGTGGGTGTGGTGTTGAGGTGGTGACGGAGGGTGGATTATGAAGGAAAGAAGCGGAAGCGGTGGTGGTTCTGCGGAGGGAAAAGGGCAGGTGAAGTGGTGGTGGTACTGGGACCGTCCGATCGAAACAAGTAATCTGACGACCCATCGTCAGATCACCGACAAAGAATGGAAGTTCAATCACATAAGTTATGGAAGTTCAATCACATAAGAAGTTCCCCAATGGTTTGGTTTTAACCCAAGACATAATGTTGATGACGAAACAAAACTATTTTTTTTTTTTTTTTTGAAATAGAACAAAACTATTCGATGCAAAAAGAACACTAGATTATTGTTAATAGTATGCAGGCTATCCTTCACTACTACAAATGATAAATTAAAAGCACAAAGATGTCAAGAAGAAGATGTGTAAATAGTACACTGAAAAACCTCTCTCTTCCCAAGATCCGGAGAAATTGGGAGACGACTTCACCAAAATTAGGTTTACAGATTCCTCCCTGCGTGCTGCGTCGGAAGTGCCTCTTCATGAAGATGAAGCAAAGGTGTATAGAATGTTCTTCTTGAGAGTAAACTCGTCGGCCTTTATTGGGTTGACAGACTGCACCAACGAAAACAAAATGAAAGGTAAGGCCAATGTAGATCAGTAACCAGCTTCGAGAGGGGTTTGAAAATACTAAGAAAGATCGTATAGGTTTTTTAATTCCCTTCGATTTTTCAGCATATGAATTCATTTTTTTTTTCGTTTGAAGTTTTAGAACTTTATTGATATATAGTTCCTAGTGTTGGATGCATCACAGTTTCATATCCAGTTTAATCTAATCCTGCGCCGCACAGTAGACAATCCTGTAACATATGAAGTCTCAGTCGAATCATGTAAGCTTACCCTTTTCACCAAACAAGGCCTATGTATCTTGCTAGTAATGGAAAGAGTATAATATAAGATCTAACCTTTTCGAGTATGCGCTCAAGTCGCTGAATTTCATTCTTTGCATAATCAGCACCTTTCTCCAAAGACTTTTTGGCAGCTTTCAAGTATATGTTACCGTATCTGAAATTTAAACAGAACGAGAAGTTAAAATGCGAATCAGAAGATCAACTGCAAAAAGACGGATCTAAAGGATTTAGCTAAGATCATCACTGAAAGATTCCAAATTCGTTTTAAGTACGTGCAAGTATCATCTGATCAAACTAGGGAGGGTGTATTAACCTTGCAGCCGAACCCTCAAGTTTCCCAACTTCCTCTTCTATCTTGGAAAAGATTGCCTTCTTCTCATCGTCGCTAGATTTCACAAACTCCTTTACTAATTCGTCCAAATTTTCAACAATGCCAGCCTACATAAAAGAAGATCATTGAGAAGAAATGGGCAAGATTTTGATCAGGTGCATTCATGGTGAATTGAAGGTACTGACTTTGGAAGTAAGTTGTCCTTTTGCGTCTCTGCTGGAGCCAGATTTCTCATTAATGAAATCTACAAAATCCTCCAAATCTCTGCCGCCACCATACTCTTCACCCTCCTTCTTGTTCTTTGGGAAGAATTTCAATGTGGGATATCCACTAACACCGTACCTGAATAGGGAGCCTTGTATTAGGTCTATTTATTTTTATTTTTTTTATGATATGTTTTACTCCGAAAATGTTTCATCTGACTCATTAAAATATGCTACTGATCAAAAACAAGATATAGATTCAGTAGAATACAACACACAATACTAAAATAAGGACCAGAAGTTCGTTGATACTATTAAACTACTAACTCACTTTTCAGCTAAATCCTTGTATTTGTCAGCATCAAGATTAGCAATCACCACACCGTCCTCCAACTTAAATGCTGAGGCAACCTTCTCATAAGTCTGGATAGAACACAAAATAAATAATCAAGATCAACTGTTGTTCAAGCACCAGACAAAGGGTTCCAATAACGGATTTGAAGGAGCAGAAATACACTTACAGGAGCAAGGGATTTGCAATGTCCACACCTTCCATGAAAAGAAAAAGGGGGAAAACAGATTTAGAGTTGCAAAAGTACCAATCAAATTCTACTGCAATTTATTGCAAACACAACAGGATGATAATTGTATAATCCCCCCTCCCTCTTGTACACCAATTTAACTCCATTGACTCAACAACCGACAATACAGAATTCAATATTAAGCATTAAAAAGGAAAATTGAAGACATAATCTTACCATGGTGCATAGAACTCCACCAGCACATCTTTTGTTTCATCCAGGACAACCTCATTAAAGTTATCCTGCGTAAGTACCACAACATGGGATGGGGCTGCAGCAATCTTCACATTGGTCCCTGCTTGCAAAGAAGAGCTTCATGATCAGTCATAAGCCTAGGATTACTACGTAAATGAATGCGTATGTTAGAATTGAACAAACTCAAACAACCAAGAAATATCGACATATTTATTTAGTTCCTTTTCAGTTGAATAACATAACAAAATACTACCTCCTTCCTTATTCACAAACTCAGCAAGAGCTTCTGCATTACGGGCACCTTCATACCTAAATCATGTAAAATTCAATCAGAAAGGTAGACCAAAATTACTAATACAAACAAGGATGGTGAAAAATGTTACATCGTCTGAAATTTGGTTAGAGGGTTCGGTGGCAAGAGTATCAAATCAAAACTAAAACAAATGCTTTCATGTAAACTGAGCAGGGGATAGGGGAAAACACACTCACTTTTTGGGTTCTAGGGACCCTTTAGGAAACCATTGAATTGTGGGGTAGCCGGAAACTCCATACTTGCCACAAACGCCCTTGTGCTCATCACAATCAACCTATTGAGAACCGGCAAATTAAGATAAAATGGTCAATCACCGGCAGTTGTCTGCAAGACACAAATTCAATGGTATGGCAGTAACACAATCATCAGACAGTCTAACGAGGACATCAGGAATAGAAAACCTACCTTTGCGATTAAAATCGATTTTGCTTTCTTAAAACTTGAGCCGAGCTTCTCATACTCCGGTGCAAGCTTCTTACAGTGACCACACCTGCAACAGGAAGTATGAACTGTATACAATTAAAAGAAGCAAAATTAAAACTAAAGAAACATATCCACTATACGCTTCCTGAAATATGGATACGAAACAACAGAAATCATCCGGAGAAACGATGTTAGTCCAATACTAATCGAAATTCGGACGAAAATTCAACATAGACACATTATAACTCGCATTCTGATTACCAAAAATTCCAATTCCATATATAAGTAAAAAATTCAAACACTTCATATGGCCTCGATCAATTATTCACATTTAGATCTAGAATCCTGGACTGCCTATTCGCAGATCTCCAATCAATCAGTCTCAGCATCGCCATATCCGATACAATTGACTGATTCATAGCCGTGTTTGGCATCCGAAAAACTAAATTAATCGATTCAATTCAAATCATTTACAATCCTACACTTGAGTAAACTAATCTCACACTAATTTGCATTCATTTCGTTCACAATTAACAACAAATAAGATCATCACAAAACCTCATCAGCTAAAATTAGGGTTTTCCGAATCAAATCTCGGAACCAAACAGCTGAAAATTAGAAGTCTAAGAGTACCAGGGAGCGTAGAACTCGACGAGAGCGGCGCGATCTTGACCGACCTCCTTCTCGAAGTTGTCCTCCGTGAGCACAACGACGTCGTCTGCGAAGGCCGACGAGGCAAGGAGGGCTAGGGCTCCGAAAGCGAACAGAGTCTTCGAGCTCGCCATCGTTTCAAACTTTCTGAAGAGAGTCGGTTCAGTTGCGGAAAGTCCAGCTGCTCCTCTGCTTTTATACCCGCCTTTGTTGGACTCGTTTGGCCTTTTAAAAAAAAAAATATATATATATATATATATTTCTCGACGGTAAAAAATAAAGAAAAATAATTTTAAGACGTAAATTGGAAACTACTCCACGAAATTCTCATCGCGTCACTGTGTACGCGCGGTACTGGACACTGCTTTTTTTAATCTGGCAATCATGTCTCGCCATGTGTACAAATGTAATCATCAGTCCACTGAGACAAAGACACGTGTCAAATACTATTTAGGGGAGAAGATTTTAAAAGACTTTAAAATCCTAATCAATTAAAAGATTTTAAAGGATTTTAAAATCCATTCAAATATACGTGTAATCAATTAAAAGATTTTAAAGAATTTTAAAATCCATGCAAATCTAGTGTATTAAAAAAATTAAGATTTTGAAGGATTTCAATAAGTTGTAGATTTTGTGGGATTTGAGAGCAAAAAGTATATATAACAAAGACCAATAAGAATCCAACCTCACCCCCTAGGATTTCAAATACTTCCACCACAATCCACCACAATCCATTCAAATTCTTTAAAATCCATATGAATTTTGTAGAAGTCTTTAATTCTCTTTAATCCTATAAAATCTATCATTTTTAAAATCTTAGTTTGACTACACCTCCTTAGCAAAAGTTATACGAATTCTTATATATGAAGAACCAAATAATTTTCCTTTGTATGCTTATTAATTTTGAGTTTTTTTTTATTCTAAAATTCAGTTTTTTTTTTTTTTTTTTTTTTTTTTGTTGTCAATGATAGATTTTGGTAGATTAATCACTGACGAAGTTCAAACCCACACTGTCATGCAAGCCTCAAGACCTTTCCACCATTGTAGTAAAAGACCACTTATTTAAGTTGACTTAACTAATCTTGCCATAAACCTTTTTTGGTTTTGATTGAGTTTTGCACAGGATGTTAGTTGATTATAAATAACATAGATGCACGTTTATATCTCTTTTGCAATTGCAAAAGTTTAGATCACGACATGCTCCTACGAACACCACCTATGCTACAATGCTCACGAACCAATGCGGAAAACCACTTGCACGTTTAGGAAGTTGAAGGCCGTCGGGTTGGTTGTAGCATGTAAAGTTATCCTTGTAGTTTTCGCCTCCCAAGACCTAGAGACCTAACTAGAAAATGTGAACTAAATGGAACCTTTGTTTTTCTTTGTCTTTTCCCTTTCCCAAGGCCCTTCTTATTAGAAGAATGAATGATTTGCTCGTAAAAATCCCGGAAGAAATTTATTAAATAATTTTCTGTTTGATTACTATTTCACTTTTAATTTAAAAAAATGAAAAATAAAAACTTCATGTCAAATTTTGAAAATTCAATAAATATGTTTTTTTTTTTTTAAATTAAAGGTACCAAACAAGAATAGTTAAAAAAAAAAAGCTTAAAAAACCTAAAGCTTTCAATACAAAAACAGCGGAAAAAATAGAAAGCGAGGGGCGTTGCGAGAATCGAACTCACGACCTCTCGCACCCGAAGCGAGAATCATACCACTAGACCAAACGCCCAATTTGGCAATTATCTTGAAATTAACCAGTTTTTAATTTAAACTCCCTAAACTTTTGAATACTATTATTCCTCACGCCTTTCTTCGCTTCTTCTTCTTCATCTTCTTCCCCTTTTCTTCAGAACGTTGAGGATTCGGACACTCTCTGGTTAGCCCTCTCTCCAATCTCCATCTCTCAGAGATTCCCGAAATCTCAATTGCATCCTTCAAGGACCGGACTGCAAATTAGCTCAAAGATTGAGCTCCGCAGCCATGGCCAGCAGTAATGTAAGTTCAATTTCCCAAAACCCTCACTTTCCGTCACTGAGAATTTATCAATTGCCCTAAGTAGGTTAAGTTCTTGATTCCAAAAATACAAAGTACATGATAAATATTTAATCTTTGTATGATTTAATTAATTCATTAGTTGTTATTATTTTTGTATAGGCTGCCGGAGTAGATAATACTTTCAGAAGGAAATTCGATCGAGAAGAGTTCTTGGAGCGAGCTCGTGAGCGCGAAAGACAGGTTTGAACCCCGAAAAGTATCGTTCTTGTTGTTGGTTTGTAAATTTGTAATATGTTTTATGGGTTTTTCCTAATCTGGGTGTTTTTGCAATGTGCTTTAGGAGGAAGAGGGAGGACCGCATAAATCCAAATGTGGGTTTGTTTAATCTTGTATTTCGGTCTCTTTGCGCTATTCGAGTTGTTTTCTTTGGTATAAACTAAAAGTGTGGTTTGCTATATGTGTAGCGAAAGGTCCGCCACTGCAAAGGAAGCCATTGAAGCACAGGGATTATGAAGTGGATCTCGAGTCTCGCTTGGGGAAAACACAGGTGAACTTTTTATTGTTTGGAGTGCATATGCATTTTTCCCCATTTGTTTGAAAGTTGAGATTTTTTTGAATTTGTGGAATACTATTAAGCCTATCATGATGCGACTACTTCTCAACCTATGAGTTAGTTTTTAAGAAGATTCCAATGTCATGTGTAATTGGATGCGTTTGATCATCATGGTTAATCAGCATCCTTGATGTATCTGTTTTAATTGACCATAAAGTTTTGATGTAAAATCTTCACCTTAATGCAGTATGTTAAAAAAAATGATATATATACTGTCATAGTTGGTTTGGTTTTCTGATTTCATGAAAATGTTGTGGTCCTTAGAAGATTATAGATTTGGATTCAGGAAGCTTGGTAGGAGAAGAGGGGTTTGTTATTCCTATGTTGCTTTACTCTGAAGAAAATTATATTGAGACGTTTGCCTCTTTCAAACGGGAATATCTCACGTCCTGCCTGCTCAGTTGAGTTGCATTAGAACCATGAATATTTTGTTGGATCCTGATGTGTCTAAATAAGATCCTTTATTGGATATTTTGTTGCTTACATCTTTGTTAATTGCTAAGTAAGTTTTACAAGTTTCTTATCACTTTTTTTCATTAACCTTGTTATCCCCTGTATGTTTTGCAGGTTGTTACTCCGATAGCACCTTTAAGCCAGCAGGTAAATACTTGTCATTGAATATTTGTAACTGAATTTTATGATTGCATTTTAGTAACGATGTTACTTGTTTATTTTAATTAAATAAAAATGGCCAGCCATCGGGTCGACTATGCCCATCAAAGGCTTTGCATTTCTTATCTCTCTTTCCCCTCCTCCCTCCCCCTTCTCTCCCCTCCTCTTTGAAGGATATTCCCTCATTAGTTAGGCTGTGTAGCTTTCCTACTGAATCCTTATCTAGTGTAGGCTGAATTACCGCACTTGAAGCCAAGATTTGAGTGCAATAATTAACCCATTAGTTACGGTCTACCGCTCACCTTTCTAACATTATATTGATATAAATTTCATTATGCAAAAAGAACATTAGCGTGTATAGTACTTTCTCTATATGGTTATGGTATCTTGTACGTGATCTGATATGAGTTGTCATTTTCTAGCCTTGTCTTCTCAATATTATTTCCCCTGCTACATTATGATTAATTCTGTTCTTTTTCAGGCTGGATACTATTGTTCGGTTTGTGAGTGTGTTGTAAAAGATTCTGCAAACTACTTGGATCATATCAATGGCAAGAAACGTAAGTAACTCTTTTGATATTGTTATGATATGAGTTCATCTATAGATATGTTTCTATTATCATTACAATTATTGTCTTTTTGGTTTTATTATCCTTTGAATGGTTCTTTTCTTTGTAGATCAAAGAGCTTTGGGTATGTCTATGCGGGTAGAGCGGGCATCACTCCAACAGGTGGAATTTGAGAAAAAACTTTTTGTTTGTGATAAAATTGGAAATTCCTTGTTAAAATCATTCATGGGAATGACCATATTTACGTTGAATTCATGCAGGTTCAGGAGCGATTTGAAAAACTCAAGAAGCGGAAAACTGATGGAACTTTCACAGAGCAAGGTAAGTCATTGAAGGAGTGAGAAGTAAATGAATCCTTCAGAGACTTTGATCACTTATTTAAGGTGCATCTGTGTTCTGATTACTGATAAAAAGTTGATCTCTCTTCCTTTTCCCTCTCAGATCTTGATGAGCGGATCTTGAAGCAGCAGCAAGAAGAGGAAGAGCGGAAGCGCCAGCGTCGGGAAAGGAAGAAAGAGAAGAAGGTTGGTAGAATTGATTCACTTAATATTAATGTTTGTAAGGCAGAGATTGGAATCTTCAAATTCGGACGTTTGTTATCTGCCTTGCTATAATATTTTGCGGTTGATTTTTTGTTTTTTCTTATGTCAATTGATTCTTTTAAATCTTATTTCCTGGGTTCAGAAAGAGAAGGTAGTCGAAGAGGAAACGGAAATTGATCCCGACGTTGCAGCTATGATGGGATTTGGTGGATTTGGTTCAGCCAAGAAGTGATTATTTCTGGCCAGTTCAACTTTCACAGCTTTTTTTTTTTTAATCTGAGCGGTTTCTTATGTATCTGATTTTGTTCTTGAGTGACCGTATCGTACGAATTTAGGCGTTCGTTTTTGTACAAAATGTAGGTTCGTGTACTTTCAAAATGTTAGTGGAATTTGAGAAATGGAAGAGATTTTATGCCAAGATTCATAATGCATCGGTTTGATTCATCTTTGTTCTGGTTTAGCATTTGCAGCTTGTCAATTTTGTTTTAATTTTACAAAGAAATTGAGAATGATTGATGATATGAATATGGCATAGCCGAGGGACGTTTGAGGTTGGTAATTCTAAACCCGAACCAAGGCAATCACCGGTCATCTTACAAAATATCGAAAGAAAAATAACTTTTTACAAACCACAACATACAAGATCTTTCGTCGTACGAGTAATCTATGATTGGTCATGTAACTAGATTGCAGTATGTTATGGCAGTTGAGTATAAATGGTGTATATGGTGGTGTATTTTTCACTTTAGGAGATGTGCTAGTGTCAGTCGCTCGCGTGAAGTTTTGACGTTATCACATTCCATGATTAGGTATGGGGGCTACCGTCAAGAGCCCACGTGTCCACTGATGCTAGCATATTCCTGACTTCAAATGTGGTAATTGATGCAGTCAGTGTAGGATGAAGAGACAGAACCCAGTAACAATTAAGAACGTGAAAAAACTGACGAACTTTGGTAGCTTCTGTGCACTGCTTGTTTCACCTTGGTACTGACCAAAAGGCCCAAAACCATTGAACCTCCCTGCACAGACAAAATTTTATTATCTGTATTTTAACTTTGATCCTCAAAAATCAACCATGTCAATAAACAGAATCAAAGTCGAAAAAAGTTGATTAGACCTAAGGTTTTCTCAAGACGTGTCTTAAAGACAAGACGTCCTGCACAGAGTCGGACTGCTACTCGTAAGTTTTTGTGATTCTTTTCGCTTACCTATTTGATTTGTGTAGATGCAGCCAGCATGAAGTGCACTTCTCAGCTCAGGCAGTGTTGCTCTATTGCCGAAAACGAAGTTTGAAAACATTCTATCAACGCAGTTCAGAACTTGTTGTGTCTCTTCAAAACATGGTCCATGGCAGAACGAATTAGTTGCTTCAGGAGGCACGTTAAATTCTCCACTCTCATTCAATCTGTATGCTTCATTACAACCAGCATAAATCTGATCACTCCAAATCAAAACAAAATCAATAAGAAACAAAATCGAGGACCTAATGATGTTCGTATAACATGAAATCGCGTTATGAGCATGGTTTGCACTCACAAACTTGTTGGTGAAACATGCCAAGGCTGTCACAAACGTCTGCGCCGGGTTGTCCTCTGCGTATCCTGCAACATATTGAGACAATCGTATGAACACAATCAGCTAGGAAACAGAAAGAAAGCGCAAGAGGGCGTCATGACCGCGAAGTATTACCTGAGTAGGAGCAACAAGCTGCAATGAGAAGAAGAGTAAGGCAGAAGAACTTGTGTTTTGGGAATATAATACAAGCCATTGTAAATTTGTAAGAGATGATTTGTGTATGAAATTGATATTAGTAGTAGTGACTGGGGATATTATATGGGTTTTTGATCTTTTTAATGAGGCATGAGAGAGAGAGAGAGAGAGAGAGAGAGAGAGAGAGAGAGAGAGAGAGAGAGAGAGGGAGAGAGAGAGGATCTTGCCTCACAATTGGTAAACCAAAAAGGAGAGAGATTGAGGTGGTGGTTTTAGATAGTTATAGCAAGAAAATGGTTGGGGAAAATGGGACTCGTAGATGAATGAATTTGGTAAGTAAGCCACCAACTTTGCACTTGTTCTTGAGCTCTCCTTTTTTTTTTCTTTTTTATCAATTTGAGTGCAAGAATTGAGTACTAAATTTGTCATTTTTCACTAGAAAACAAATGTTTAGATTAATATTCAAAGACCATTGGGATTGCATGATGTATTAAGTCCAAGTGCCTCCCTCCCCCTAGAGATGTTTTAGATGGTTGATGTATATATTTTATTTATTTATTATTATTATTATTTTTAATTGGATACAAATTATGCATACAAACGGCGCCAATATATTGCATTGGCATTGGATTTGAGTGGTAGGAGGCCCAATGTATCTAACACACGCCCTTCAATTATCTGAGTGAACGTTTTAGGGTTGCATCAGTGAAATTATTGTTTATCCTTTGCCATAACAGAATGAGTAGAATTGCTATGACACCCTTAAGCTTATAGCAGACATGAGTCATATCATTATGTGGAAACCTGCATTCATTAGATAGTGTCTTCAAATATACACCCACCATTAAGAATAGTGTAAAGGCTATATTAATTATTAGTAAAAGGCAAATACTACTAGCTAGAGAGATTTTTCAGTGTGCCGGATCATAGATATATACGTCATATGTCATCATACAAGTGGACGGACACTTAAAAAGAAAACTTTCTTCCGCTTGTATAGTCACATAGGACGTACTGTCCTGTGTTCCGAGCACATTGAAAAATCTTTATGCTAGCTGAATGAATTAGTTAGCTACGCCAGGCGTTGTAATTTTAATTTCACCCCCAAACAAATGATAAAACAAGAGCAGTTGCTAGCTAAAAGTTGAATGTTTTGGAGGAGGTAACTAGAAGTAGAAGAAAAAGGCATGTAATTAGATTCGGACTTGATATATATACATTTGATTGGAAAATTAACCATATATCAAGTCCAACCTAAATACGAAAATCAACTGTATCCTGTGATTTCAACTTCAATATTTGATGCTTATATTAAAATTAAGGGAATTTTAACGAAAAGCTCCTGGTATTGTTCACTTTAACGAAAAACCACATTTTTACACTAAAAAGTCAATCTTGAAACTATTCACTTTACTCTTTATTTTGTCCTTATCGTTAAAACTTAAAGTTTTCAAGTCATTTACATTAGTTTTCCTTAAAATTAAACCCTAAAAACTATAACATTATTAATTAAACTCAAGAAAACCTAAAAAACATGGTCTAAACTTCTTGTTTCCGCCATCTTTCTTTTCAGATTAACCGCATAGCCTCTGAGGATTTTGATTTATTAACTTGATGTATTTAACTTTGACTGCTCGATCTTTTCATCCAAGATAACTTGCGTCATCTCTTCTGAGAAATTTGGGTTCCCATGCAAGAACCTTTCCCTGTTCTTGCCAGGAAACCACTTCCCTCTCCTCCAATCCAGATGAGGCCTCACGTGAGTAGCCGGATAAACAACGTGATCCAACGTTGTTTCGAAGAACACGGCGTAGAAACCATCCTTCTCCCCGGTGACAACCCCCTTCCACCACCCGTCATTGTCGTACACATCCACCAAATCGCCGAAACCAAACTTTTCATTGTTTGCAGATGAGTCGTTCGGGCTCAATGGCAGGGTTTGATTCGGGTGCGGAGGGCGGACGTCATGAGCCATGACGGTCTCTTTGTAGAGCGTGCGCTCGTCATTCTCCAATAGCTCCTTGTACTCGACAACATAGTTGTCCCCCATGTTGGCTACAACCCTAGCTGCAAAGTGCGATCCGATGAACCCCTCATCCCTGCTTGATACTTCAACTTCGTTGTTGGTTTCAAACCATCTTTCGGGGAGGAACTCATTTGGATCGTCGAGTTGTGAGCGAAAGGAGGAAGCAGGACGAGAGTTCGATGCGTTTGTACGCGGTTGGATCGCACGGGAAGGCCCCATTGCAAATGATTTGCGAGTGAAAGAAAGGAAGTAGAAGAATGAGAGTTGGATTTGCTAGTTGCTACCAAAGAATGAGAGTTGACGAGTGCCTTGTTTGTATATATAGAGTCCTGTTCTGTTTAGGAAATTTTGGCTTTCCTATTCTGTTTAGGAATTGGAAGATTTTATACTTTTGATTTCTTAATGTTTCTAAATTGTACGATTTGATTAAAAGAAAAAGTTATTATATTTTACGGATTCAACCCACCTCAAAAGTGTCTATACTTTTACAAATTTAGCGCACTTATACATAAACTTATAGATAAATCGGATTCGGATTAGATTAGTCTAGTTCGAGCCGTTAAGTAAACTAATCCGACCGAATAGTCCGATGTATATTTAATAAGAAAATCCATATATGATTTGATAAGTTAACGAGTATTTGATATGAAAACCCAATCTGATTTCTTATACATTTTTTTAATCAATCTTCATTATCAATCAAATTAGCTCAATTTCATATTTGATTTGTTAACAAATCTCGGATGCAGATCATAAAAGCATTATCGAATTGAATTCACAAATCCATATTCTATTAATCGAATTCATATTGGAATTCGGGTCAAAAAATTCATTGACACGTCTACCTACAAATCTAACCCAGTCATACTACTATAAAGCTAGAACAAATTTTAGTGTCACGGTCCCAAATTTAAGTGGTCTTGTCAATGCACCTATTATTTTTTTATATGGGTGTGCATCATAATCGATATGTCAATAATCTAGTGGTACTAATAAAATTTATCATTTATGGACATGTCATAACTTGAGAAATATCTTTGGAATTTGGCAAAGTCTAGGGTTTCTTTCAATACAAGCAAACATAGGAAAAGAGGGTTGAACACGAGTTTAATAAGAGGGTTGAACACATGAGTTTAAGTGTAGAAGTGAGTGCTTTTAACCGCTTATAATTTTTATCCATACAAGTGACATAAGAAGGTCAAACACACGAGTTTAAAAGCAAAAGTAGATGTTCTTAACCAATTACAGCTTACAAACATCTTAGCTTTCAGGCGAAGTACGGCAGACCAAGCATTAGGGTTTTTTTTTTTTTTTTTTTTTTTCTTTCTTTTTAAATGGATTCGAAACTATTACAATAATTATGGGAAAAATGGTGTTTCAAACTCGAGACGCATGAGTAGAAACCAATACCCTATTGACTAGGATGTCGGACCGCATTTATTTACAATTGCTATATGTCTCTAAAGAATGTGAAGTTCTTTCATTTCAAGAAGCAAGAAAAAAAAAGGCAAAAATATCTCCAGCAATAAAAAAAAACTCGAATTCATCGGAAACAAGACGAGTGAGTAGCCTAGTCTTTACTTTGTAGTGCCCTCTACTTAATGTACTGAGAAAGCCACTTGAAGCCATCGCCATAACCCATTTTCCGAACAATACTGCACATGAAAACCTCGAGGGGACGGACATTTGAGTCTTGCAAGTTTACTTTACCCTTGCCTGTGGTGAAGTTGTTCAGACCAAGGTGGAAGCGCAACTCTTCTTCTGAGGCAGCGTATGGTATGTCGATCTTGTTTCCGAGAATAAGGAATGGAACAGTGGCCAGTGATTCATCGGAGAGGAGAGCATCCAGCTCTTTTTTTGATTCTGCAAACCTTTCCTTGTCGTAAGCATCCACCAGGTAAACCACCGCATCCACCTTTCACAACAAAGACGAAATGCATTACCAAGGACAAACCATAGAGATAACATTTCTTTTTCGGTCAAGGAAACATAGAGATAACATAGTATGAAGCAAGACAAAACCAGCATAACCAAGGATGAAACATAGTGATCATATTTCTTTTTCCATCAAGGAAACATAGAGATAACATAATATGCAGCAAGACAAAACCGGTATAACTTGAAATTACCCTCTTAGACTAATGAACAACACAACCATTCTTTCTTAGACAATCAACCAGACCCCAAAGATCGTTCTAGTGAACGATTCCAGATATTCTATCAAACCTATTTCACAGCTGTTACATTTCACCATGATAAACCCCAGCAATATGTATATGGTTTCCAAATAAATATACTACAATCTAAGGGGGTGCCTAAACTTCTTTTAATTAATGATCGTCTTGTAACATATCTAACTACATCATGCAGGTCCTACTGTGCACTTTTTCCTCCCAAATATGAGTGCTTCATAGGAGTTAAAAAACACGATAATTTCAAAACAGCAATCGACAAGAAATGTTCATTCACACTTCTAATAAGGGATCTGCATGTAATCTGCCCACTATTGATCTAGATAAAGAAATTGCAAAGCAAATGATGGATGTGCAGTGAGGCACTATTAGCATACCTTTTACAGAGAAAAGGTGCTATCCGCGAACTACCATTTTTTATATCTGCCTCCCATGAATCAGGTAAAAACAGTAACTTTTATCTGGGATTATGGAGGCACAAACATCCAAGACAACTAAGTGCACGTGGCAAGAGAAGATCATACAACAACTATATGGGTAGGTTAAGATCAACATTGTTTCCAATTTGACAATTCGACTGGGGGGCAGTGAAATGTTTAATTCAGCAAGGTACTTGTGAAATACAAGAACAATGATTCACATCGTCCAAATGCAAACTAGCTAACTACCATTGTAACAAAAGCTAAAACAGTTCATATGTGCAGAAAACCAGTTGCCATATCACATATCAACACATCATCTTGAATTAAATCATCAATGATACCTTGGCATAGTAATCTTTCCAAACTCGGCGAGCAATCTGATGTCCACCCAAATCAAAAGCCTTGAACTTGATTTTACCAATGCTCAACTCCTCGGATGTCGGATACTGGGTCGGCTGGTGTTGAACTAACCTCTGCAATAATGCATCAACAACAAAACCCAGAATAAGAAAACGAAATTCTATGCTAATCAAGTAATTATCAAACAAAATCAAAACAATTACAAGAGCAAATTGCTTTATTCATTTCTTCTTCTTCTTCTTCCAGATATTAAAACTTGAGTGATTCAATAGCATCTTAAACTCAATACTTATATTGGATTGGGAGCAGAAAATCTAATGAAAAAAAAAAACCCATAGGAATTACACAAAAGAAAAGAAAAATGATTTTCAATTGCACAATTAAAAACTACACTCTCAAAACTATTCCTTCAGTCCATATTTTCTTTTTCTTCACTTTCTCATCAACCAAACAGACCCCGGATTGATTAAACGTAAAACAAAAACGAAAATTTCAGCATAAACCAAACACCAATTAAAAACACCATTGAAGCATTGAAAATTCCCAAATTTCACCGAATTCGAAAGGACCAAAAACCCACCAACAAATTTACAAAAAGTCCGATTAAAAGGATGAGATTGAAAGAAAAACCTCATCTTTGAGCATATGAAGCAACGTCGTTTTGCCGGCATTGTCGAGACCCAAAAACAAGATCTTGGCCTCCTTCTGCCACAGTCCGAGCGATGCAAGAACCCCATAGAACCAATCCAACAAGAACATGGTGTTTCCACCCAGAAATCGTCAGATGGAGAGCCTCCCCCCAATATCAGAGAGACAGAGAAGTAGAGAGAGTTATGTGGAACTGTTACTGGGTTTGGTCCGATAGACGGCTGTGATGTGGCTCTGACCCAATTGGCAATTCTGGGCCGTTAGATTCTAAATTTCCAACAGCTGGGATCTAATTTTTGTTTTATTTTCATTTTTGGCGAAGTTGGTCGGTGGGGATTTGATTTTCCTTTATTTATTTATTTTTATTTAACACATTTTGATGATTAAATGATATTCTATTCAAAAGATTTTTTGTATGATGATCTTCAAATGGGTATTAAGAGATTAAAGGCATCCGATTATGAAAATTTTACGATTAAATTAGATTATAAGTAAGTGGAGGAATGAGCTAGTCCATAAGAAGATGATGCAAGCATTATCCATATAAAAATGTCCATTATTTACCATTGAATTAATAATTAGGTGAGGTAAATACGTAAAACATAGAAACATTAATATAAAATATCAAATGTGTTCCAATCCTTAGACCATCTCCAACCGAACGAGGGCCAGAGGGTTCATTTTAGCCGTCTGGCCTTCCAAGATATTAATATTTTAATGAACAGTACATGACCATATTTGCCTCCATCTCTAACCGAGGGCCATAAGGCCAAACATAATTTATTATTTAAATTTAAAAACTACAACAACTTAAATTTGTAGGAAAAAATGAGAATTTTTTAACATTTTTTTACAAATTTTGGCCCAAAAAAATTCAAATTCAAATCCAATGGCTAGTTGATATTAGCATGACATCAGCTAGCCGTTGAATTTGAATTTTTTTTTTTTGCTATAAATAGGTTGGATATTGAGCTATAATTCACACACCTTTGAATTTAATATATTTCATTTCAATCTCTTTCAATTCAATCTCTTCCAATTTAATTTCTTTCAATTCAAGTTTACAATTAATTCCAACTTTGGATCCTCTTCGAATTCCAATTGGGGATCCTCATCCAATTCTGAATTGGAACAAAAAATGGGCGCAGATGAGACGAGAAGATGAAGAGTCTGATGAAGAAGATGAAGCATGCGCAACACACAATATATGGCAGCCATAGCTGCAGCCACAATGTGTCAGCCAACTAAGGAACAGCCTCAATGGGGTGGCTCTATTGATGGTCGTTTTTACAAACCACGAAATAAAGCGATGACGCATGCCAATCTGATGAACAACTACTTCAACCTTAACTCGGTGTACACAAAAGATGATTTCAGACGTCGCTTCCGGATGAGATGTCATGTCTTCGAGCGTGTACTTCATGATGTCTATCAGGTCAATCCATATTTTCAACAGAAGCTGGACAGAGCAGGCCGCCCTGGTTTCTCACATCATCAGAAGATTACTATTGCACTACGAATGATGGCCTATGGCTCCCTAGCTGATTCGATGGATGAAACCTGTTGATGCACAAAACCGGAGGTCTTGGAACAACGTAAATCCGATCGTGAATCTGCAAGTAATGTAACTAACACAAGATGTATCGTGGTTCACCCCAAGGTTTGGGCTACGTCCACACTGATTGTATTGTATTTCTCTGAGAAGTGAGGGAGAGAGTGTGAGAGCTTTGCTCTAGATAGGAGAGGCTTAGGGTTTGTGAGGGTGAGGAGGCCATTTTATAGAATAAGGGCTCCTCCCCTAATTACATATTTGCCCTTTCCTTTATTACACAATTACATTTAAGTCTCCCGAGTATTTATACGAGACCCTAAATATGGTATAAACAAAACCCATGGTATGTCTGAGTCTACATGCCTTGATACTCTTGCTGAATTCTATAACACAATTGTTCAGCTTTACAAAGAGGAGTACCTACGCAAGCCAAATCAAGAAGATCTGGATCGACTCATTTGCAAAGCTGAAGATCATGGGTTTCCGGGTATGATAGGGTCATTAGGTTGCATGTTGGTTAATGTTATTTAATGTTGTTTCATATTGTTTAATGTTGTTTCATGTTATTTAATTTAATTTAATGTTGTATAATGGCTTATGATGTTATAGGAAAAAAATAGAATTTAAAAAAAATATGAGACAAATTTTGTAAAATGGAAGTTATAGGAAAAAAATAAAATTTTAAAAAAATATGAAACAAATGTTGTGAAAGAGAAGTTATAAGAAGTTATAGAAAAAAATAGAATTTAAAAAATGAAGTTATAGGAAAAAAAATTTGTTAAAAAAAAACATAAAAATTAAAACTGTAAAAAAAATAAAAAATAAAAAATAACGGCTAGCTGACGTCAGCTAGCCGTTGCATTTGAATTTTGGCCTAGAATTCCTGTCGGTTATATACGACAGGATTGGTGAGTTTTTTGGCTCAGCTCGGGGCTAGCTGGCTGGCTCATTTGGGCCAGCCCTTTGGCCCTTTCAGATTCCGTGGGGCCCACGAGCCCTCTAGCCTAGCCCTTGGTTGGAGGCGGTTTTTGGGCATTTTTCCACTCTCTGGACCCTTCAGTTGGAGATGGTCTTAGGAAACACAACCCAATCCTAGTTAGGAAAGCCGAGTTTGAACTTTCATTTTTGTTGGTCAGTGGGGATTGTTTTTTTATTCTTTTTCCTTTTGTCCAATTCCTTTCTTCTTTTATTTTTTTCAATTAGAAGCAATATTGGCCTCTTAGTACTATAGTCTAGTGGTATTCTTCTTCACTTGTGAGTGAAAGGTCTTAGGTTCAATTTTTGTCAAAGGCGAATTTGAACCACATTATTGCTAGCCCATTGTGAGGCTAAGCCCACCCTTTCTCCGTTTAGTATAGATAATATCGTTTGTTCAAAAAAAAAAAAACAATTAGAAGCGATATTACTATTATTCAAAGCAAGACAACAAATTTGATAACTACATTTCATTTTAGCAATAGCTATGGTACATTACAAGATTTTTTTTTTTTTTTTAAGTAGGGTTGTTAAATGAACCACGTCGCGTCACTCGTAAAACATTTCTTACAAAAGCATGAATTTTCTGTATTTAAGTTGATCTTCAACTCCATGTTGGTTTCCCACGATGTTAGGGTGAAAATTCTAGGTTACGACTTGCTATGCCACTCACCTCACTTCTACGACACAAAAACATTTCAGCACGTCCATGCCACTTGCTCACACCAATGAGCTTAGTGCATGCCAACAGGATCCTCGGATCTTTATGGGGAGGATTCTAGGAATCCATGAATCGTGTCTGTTCATCGTACATCGTGCGGTCAGTTTTTGTCAATGATTGTTTGTGTTTAATTTTAATAATTTTTGATCGTACGATATATGATGAACGAACACGGTTCACGGATCATTGGAATCCTCACAAATAGGATCCGGCGAGTATCCGGATTCAGTCGCATAACAATGTGGTGCAGGTGTCTAAATAGAAGAATTCCCAATAACAAGCAGTCATTCTGGAATTTCTCTTGCTTTTACAAAAGTTGGTATTAAGGTTGGAGTCTAGATCCTCTCCGGATCTAAAAAAGCTGAGCCTAAGGATCAAATGATTCGGACTGTTGAAAGTATTATAACTTTTAGAGGGGCTCCCAGTTTGTAGCCGTTTGATCAAATTTCAACGGCCCAGATCATTTGATCCTTAGTCTCAGTTTTTTTAGATCCGGAGATGATTTGTACTCTTAAGGTTGCATTTGTAGGTGGGGTAAAAATCTGTAAAATATAGAAACAATTTTCTTTTTTATAAAAAGGTAAAATATAACATAGAAACATGTATCGCTATCAAAGCGTAAAATATAGAAACATTGAGATACAAAAAATAAAAAATCTTCCGAATCCTGATCTGAATAGGAAAAGCCAAAATCCTAACCCTAATCGGAATAGGAAAGCCCAAATATTCAAGACTATATATGCCATATTGGATACAAAGAAGGCACTTGAACCGTCACTCTTCTACTTGCTTTCTCTCGCTCACAATCATCCACTCTAATTCTTCTGCTTCATTCTTCTCCAATGGAGGCATTCCGTATGGAAAGGTTTTTCGAAAGAGACAACGAGATCGAAGTGACCGGCAAGGAAAAGGGGTTTCTCGGATCTTACTACGCAGCCAGGGTCATCGCCAACATGGGAGACAATTACGTGGTGGAGTACAAGGAGCTGCTGGAGGACGACGAGCGCACGCACTGTAAAGAAACCGTGATGGCTCATGACGTCCGCCCTCCGCACCCGAACCAAACCCTACCTTCAAGCCCAAGGGACTACTCATCTGCAAAGAAAAAGTTTGGTTTCGGCGAACAAGTGGATGCGTACGACAACGACGGCTGGTGGGTGGGGATCGTCACCGGGGAGAAAGGCGGTTTCTGCACCGTGTTTTTCGAAACAACATGGGATCACATTGCGTATCCGGTTACTCACTTGAGGCCTCATCTGGAGTGGAGGAACGGAAGGTGGTTTCCTGGAAAAAACCGAGGCCGATTCGTGGTGGAGAACTCGTATTTTTCAAGTGAATTGGTGGAGTGTATCTTGGACGAAAAGATTGAGCAGGAAAAGTTGAAGAAATTGGAAGTTCAACGAGATCATGAGCATCATCGCATGCAGTCCGGCTGGGAAGAAAAGATGGTGCAGTCAAGAACTGTTTGGGCTTGAATTCACATCGTCGTTGACGATTTGAAGTAATCAAAAGTGGAATAAGACAATGAAAATCATCGATTAATTTCAAGTTTAATACCTTTATCTTAATTTCTTGATTGTATATATGCCACGTTTTAAATTCCATTAGTTTTGTTCTTTTGATCAAGAGGAAACTTTTTCAACATATTTATTTTGCTCTGGACTTTGAAAGTTCTTGACCTTTAATTTCCTTGTGTACAATATTCTGCGAATTAATCATCTCATATTATTGAAGACACAGATTAGGCTTCTAAGATTAATTCACGATTGCGTAATATTTAACTAAGAAAGCTGCAGGATGGTTTTGCATCGAAATTTAACCTTTAATTAGTGGCAAGTAAAGGCTGATCAGAAAACTCACCCAAACTCAAGAATCTAGGTAATTAATCCTCAAAGAAGCAAGAAAACGCCCCTGTAAACCAGTAAGTACTTCTCAATTTAGCAATTGTAAT